TAGCAACAAAGCACACCGTAACACCAGGAGTTGAATCTAGCCTGTGTTACATGTTCTCACTCGATTTTACATACAAAGAATGTAAAACAAAAAAGATACAAAACAAAAATATATTCAACAAAAAGATATATGAAAAAAAAAAAAAAAAAAAGCAAGCTCACCAGAAGAGCCAGTGTATGATGACAAAAATTACATCCTGAAACTGTTTGAAGAAGCGAAGAAATTCACTTTCCATGCTGAGTATTTTATTAGCAGCAATACCTATAGCAGCACACACAGTAATCAGCCCTGGAAAAGAAATCGTTCTTTACAAATTACATTACACATAACCATACAATAGGGCTGGTAAGTAGGTCACCAGCCAGTTTTACGGCTAAATAAAACCTGCATGAGCCATAGAACTGGTTGGTGACCTACTTACCAGCCCTATTGTTCTTTACATAACATGTACCTCTAGAATTTTTCTTCAAATTTTTCCTGATGCCTTAATTTATATGCTTACTTTCCATTGGTATACTTTGTGCTTTTATTTTGGTGCGCTGTTTCATTGACGTTGTGTCTGAGGTTTTTCTTTACTGCGAGGTAAGTTATTTCTGTATTCAATTATGTGCTTGATTTGATCAAGGCGTAACAGACCCAATATTTCATCAGTTCAATTAGCCTCGACTGAATGGGGTGTGACTTGGGCCAGGTTCTCCCCGTCCCTCACACATCTTCCACGCTCAACACACTGATACCCCAGGGGGGCACTTTTTTGAGGGGGAGGGGGGCGGACTATTTATTTTCAGGAAGGGGCTGACACTGTATATATATTTTCTATATATATTCCATTTCCTTAGTTCGGAGGGGGGGGGGGGGGCTCCGGCTTCCCCGAAGAGATGCCTGGAAGAAACTGATCTCAGCTCATCAGCTCAACCCCTACCCCACAAGGTTCACAAGTCCCAGCTCACCCCTACCCCACGAGTCCCAACTCACCCCTACCCCACAAGGTTCACAATTCCCAACTAACCCCTACCCCACGAGTCCCAACTAACCCCTACCCCACAAGGTCCACACGTCCCAGCTCACCCCTACCCCACAAGTCCCAGCTCACCCCTACCCCACAAGTCCCAGCTCACCCCTACCCCACAAGTCCCAACTCACCCCTACCCCACAAGTCCCAACTCACCCCTACCCCACAAGTCCCAGCTCACCCCTACCCCACAAGTCCCAACTCACCCCTACCCCACAAGTCCCAACTCACCCCTACCCCACAAGTCCCAACTCACCCCTACCCCACAAGTCCCAGCTCACCCCTACCCCACAAGTCCCAACTCACCCCTACCCCACAAGGTTCACGTCCCAGCTCACCCCTACCCCACAAGGTTCACGTCCCAACTCACCCCTACCCCACAAGTCCCAACTCACCCCTACCCCACAAGTCCCAGCTCACCCCTACCCCACAAGTCCCAACTCACCCCTACCCCACAAGTCCCAGCTCACCCCTACCCCACAAGTCCCAACTCACCCCTACCCCACAAGTCCCAGCTCACCCCTACCCCACAAGTCCCAGCTCACCCCTACCCCACAAGTCCCAGCTCACCCCTACCCCACAAGTCCCAACTCACCCCTACCCCACAAGTCCCAACTCACCCCTACCCCACAAGGTTCACACGTCCCGGCTCACCCCTACCCCACACGTCCCAACTCACCCCTACCCCACAAGGTTCACACGTCCCAACTCACCCCTACCCCACGAGTCCCAGCTCACCCCTACCCCACAAGTCCCAGCTCACCCCTACCCCACAAGTCCCAGCTCACCCCTACCCCACAAGGTTCACAAGTCCCAGCTCACCCCTACCCCACAAGGTTCACAAGTCCCAGCTCACCCCTACCCCACAAGGTTCACAAGTCACAGCTCACCTAAGATGTTCATCCCGTCCGACTTCCCGATGGATCTCTCCATGGTTACCATGGTAACGGTGGAGTTGCTCGTGCCGTTGCTGACCAGCTGCTGAGCTTCTTTTCTCGTGTAGACCGAGACTGACTGTGGTGGAACAGACAACACGGTTGTTATAGCAACGTGTATTTGTAGATGGTACTCGGTTTATGGTACGTTGGTGGTAGTTGTGATTTAGTGCTATTATATTATTTTTTTACGTAGATGAAATTTTATATTAAAAAAATAATTTTAAACACTACTGCTTTTTATTTTCTTCGCCGGCTGGTATTATATTTTTTCTGTTTTTTTTTTTTAAATTTTAGTTATTTAAAAAAATAAACCGGGAGTGATCTCCCCTAATTTTCTCGAATATTCTTATATAAAACAACAGGGGATGGGAACTCGGGAGATAGATCTAGTTATGATTTTTAATCCATTTTAAATACTTAAACTTTTTTAAATAGAATAGAATCTCATAGAAAAAAGTATTGCGCACCAAGCGAACGCCGAATAAAGATGTTCATAATGGTGCGCAATATTATTAGTACTTTATAAATTTAGATGCGTTTTTGAGAAATCGGCAATAGCGTAAATTAGTACTTCCCGTCAACGGAAATTACTCAAAATTTAACAGAAGGTAGAGAATTAGATCTTTTACTTACAGGTGAAATTTCATTTATCTATCTGAAATAGTACTCAAGTTATAGGCTTTTGAAAAATTCAAAGTAGAAAAAGTACCACTTCCGGTTATCGGAAATCGCTCAAAAGTTGATGCGGATCTACGATTTTGATAAAATACTTATATATGAAATTTCATCAACCTAGCTGTAACGGTACTCAAGTTATCGTGTTTACACACACACAGACACACACACACACACAGACACACAGACATACGGACAAGATTGCAAAATTATATTTTTCCGTATCAGTGAGGTGTAAAACGTCGAGATTTGTAAAAATCTCGATTTTTTTTTTGCACGATTACAATACTTTCTCTATACTACGTATATACGAGAAAGTAAAAACAAAACTAGTTTTGTCCCTTTTTTAAAAGTGATTGTTAGGGTACTTTATTACAGTTACCACCTCAAGCCTAGGGGTATGTCTAAATAGTAAGGATGATGTAGTAATGTAACTCCATGGTGAATAAGAATAGTAGGAAAAACCTTTCACTTCAAAACCTTTAAGGGAAACAACTCTATAGAAGTATCCGCATTTAAAAATTTCAAGCACATTTTTGTTGTGGTATGTACAGTATTCATGCAAAAAAGTATATAGTTTTTTAAATAAATTAAATTTTAGTAATATTTTATGTTACCTGTGATATTGCTGCACCAACTACATTATCAGGGAAAATATTTCTGTAAAAATCACAAACATAATTATAAAGTTTTAATTGAATATTAGCTTTACACTACTGATTTAATGATTCTATTTTAAACTTAAACATGTTCCCAAAGTTTAACAATTATAATTTTCAAGTAACATAATTAAAAAATAAAAATAAAAAAAAAGTTAACAATTCTAATTAAAAGTACTGCAGATTTGAATACCCAACTTCCTCCGCCCCCAAACTTTTAATCTTTATTTCTATAAATAAGCTCATACTTAGCAAAAACTGTATAATAAGAATATTTCTTTATAAAGAGATATACACTACAGTTCTCAAAAGATGAGCACAGTCACGCAATGGCGGAGGCCTTTAGTACAAGGACAATATACGCTATTCCATGTCTATTCCATATATTGTTGAATTCACAAATTATGAATTGCTGATAAGCAGAAAATAAAACAACTAGATGGCGGCGTATACTACGTCGCGGGTCAGCTCGTATATTATCAACAGCTAGAATAGCACAAACACTCAACAAAAAGTAAGCAGCTAAAAAAAAAATAGCATTAAGTTCTAGCTTTCATCACTATCCAGGAGTGTATAAAAGGTGTTGAATAATACCATTCAAAGGTAAAAGTTTGATGTCTTAAGGTTTGTGTATTGATTCGAAAATTTGAACTTTAAAGTTAAATCTGTAGAACCATAAACAGAAGTAATTTCTTTTTTAAATTTTTTATTTAGTTTTTAATATTTTTTTACATGCGTAATTTTTATTTAAAAAAATTTTTGATGACATTGTTACTGCCAGCCACAATCACATCTTTCAGTACTTAAGTAAACCAAATATTATCCCACCTCCAACAATCACATCTTTCAGTACTTAAGTAAACCAAATATTATCCCACCTCCAACAATCACATCGTTCTGCACATGGTTAAACCAAATATTATCCCACCTCCAACAATCACATTAGTTACCTTAGGAGGTCGGCGATGACGTCTTGTGTGTTGAGGTTGGTGTCAAAACTTTCATTTCCATCCGACAACTTGCCAGGGTCTGACAATACACCAAATTGTAATTAAATTAACTTTTTTTTTTACAATCAGAAGTAAACAATTTTATAAATTAGACAAGTTTTATGATTAAAAACAAAACATTTTTGTGAAACACGATTAAACATTTTTACCATTAAAATAAAATGTATTTGTAAATTATACTTAAAAAATTGTATTAAAATTAAACGTTTCTAACATTAATATTAAATATTATTTATAATTAAATTAATCATTTTACCGTAAACATTAAGTTGGACCCATTGAAATCATTCTTAATTGAAATAGAAAATGTGGCACGGAGTTTATTATAAACTGTAGTCACATTGTTTTAAACACGTAGTACGTAGCTTATGATAAATTTAACTTCCTGTACTCACCTGGTTTAAAAATGTAGAACATAACAACAGCGATCAGGGTCCCCAAAACTTGTGTTAAAAAAAATCCCAAAGTCGCCACAACGGCGATCTTGCCGTTACTCTTGGGATCAAGTGTGGCTGTACCTGTGGTTTTGGTGTGGATAACAGAAAATGAGCATTAAAAAAAATAATGAAAATCGTAATTAGTAACACGGTTTTTTTTTTACTTGCGCTAAACAGTAAAAAAAAATAGTTTTCTTTAATTAGGTAAGAATTTACCACTACTTAAATAACTTGAAAGAAAAGCATGGGTCGCTATTTATGTATTTTGTACCCCTATTCAAATTTTATCAGCATTTTTATTCGCAAAATTTTCCTGTTAAATGGGTTGTAAATAAGTAAGCTTTATATCTGTGACTAAAAGTTACATAACTTTCTTTTAGACGATGCTTGTATTGTATAGCATGCCGTAACGTTTTAGTATTTGTAGTACTAAACACTCCCGAATTTGTATTGTTTTTGTAGTATTAAACACTCGCAATTTTATATTTTTTTTTAGTATAAATAATTTACTATATGAACTTCACACCACTCGCGCCCCCCCCCTCCTCATATGATGATATCCACTAACTGATACTAGCACAAGATTTGATGACGTAGCTTACATGTGATCACCATGCAGACGACCAATGGCACCACAGTGGCCTTCAGACACCGCAGGAAGAGTTCTCCAGGTAGACCTGTGATCAAATGGAAACATTTTCAGATAAACTACACATTCTAAAATAACAACACATTAAAACTACGCATGCTAAAAATAACAACACATTAAAACTACGCATGCTAAAAATAACAACACATTCAAAACTACGCATGCTAAAAATAACAACACATTAAAACTACGCATGCTAAAATAACAACACATTAAAACTACGCATGCTAAAAATAACAACACATTAAAACTACGCATGCTAAAAATAACAACACATTCAAAACTACGCATGCTAAAAATAACAACACATTAAAACTACGCATGCTAAAAATAACACATTAAAACTACGCATGCTAAAAATAACAACACATTAAAACTACGCATGCTAAAAATAACAACACATTGAAACTTCACATGCTAAAAATAACAACACATTGAAACTACACATGCTAAAAGTAACAACACTTTGAAACTACACATTTAAAATACCAACACATTGAAACAACACATTCTAAAATTACAACACATTGAAACAACACATGCCAAAATAACAACACATTGAAATTACACATGTCGTGTTGGCTTCAATTTTAACATTTTAAAACCAAAACAAACCATAAAAAACAAAACAGATCTACTGCAAAGTTTTCCGTTTAACACAATAAAACTACACATACCATAATTAAATAACACATAGAACTATTGTAAGATCTTGCGATAACACAAAAACTACACATGCGGTAAAATCTTTGGGTAGATAACTTCGGCACTTAGATTTCTTATTTGGGATGGTGAGTGGAAGAAAATAGAAAATAGTATGATAACAATAAAAGTTTATTTTTACTTTAATGCTATGGTGTGTGGGACATAGGCGATAGGGGCGGAACGGTCGAAGATGAATGTGATACTAGTATTTCTAAAATCTAGTTCATTGCAAAAGTGCTTAAAGAAATTACGTTTTCAAAAACTTTTACGGGCAATCTTTTAACTTCTGTTCCCATGGCCATTCAGATTTAAGAACTATTTAATAAAAAATATCATTAGACATATTTAAATCAGAATAAAGAAATAACACCTTTTAACAGATTACGAACTAAAATTCTTTAGATCAGAAAAGAAGCCCCTACCTAGCCACATTAGGGCCTGATCGGACATGTCCAGCTCACGAAGACCCATCCCTAGGCTGATGCCCAGCACAATGCCCCCCATCGTGGCCAGTATGAGGGCATTCTGCCTGAGGACTATGGCCACCTTCTTCTTGAAGCTGACCGTCTTGATGTCGGGCTCCGTGGTGTTGCTGTTGTTGGCGTCGCCTCTCTCCTTGTCTGGCTCCCCCTGGGCGGTCATGTTGAGCGGTGTCGTCTGGGGGGGGGGGATAGAATCAGTTTATTTATTTATATAACGTTATTTATTTTTCTACTTTTTAGTGCATCATTACATAAAAGCTTGTTATTAAAACGTTTTTTATGAATTTTTTTTTATAAAGTTTGGTTGAAATTGCTTGACTGCAGCTCGATTTAGTAAAGGGAAGTAACAGGGGTAAAGAAGGACAACCAAAGAAATACCGAACACAGAACAAGAAGAGTGAAAAGGGAAAAGGAGAACAATACATAAAAAAATTGGGTCTAAATAAATTGAGAATGTTATTTATCAGGATCTATTACATGTTTAAAACATTACTAAATATGTAGTTTATAAACTGTTATTTACTATATATTAATTAATTGATAATACAATGATAATTTTCATAAAACAATTGTGTGTTGTTAGTTACTATAATTTCATTGTTGTGTTATTGTCACGGTTTGGGCATTTATATTGAGACTGACTAGAGATTCTTTATTAAACTGATCCACCTCTGGAATAATTAGAAAAAGCAAGATGAAAATCTGAAAATATCAACATCTCGAGTTGATAAGCCAGCGATGTGGTATGTCGTAAAGTAATTGAAGTAAAGTATGAGATATTTAATTATTCCAGAGAATTAAAGACAGGACTTCTATTCAGTGTTTCTTACAGACTTTTTTCTCGCGGGGGGGGGGGGGGCAGTAGACTTTCTTCGGGAGGGGGGGGGGGGGCGGACACTGTTAAAAGTATATATTTTATATATAAATTATATAAATTTCATTTCGTTCAGAGAGATGCCGGGAAGAAACTCTGCTTCTATTGTTTAGCCGCGATAGACCACAAGAATCGCAGGCATAGTTTTGTTTGTGTATGTGTGTGTGTGGAGGGGGGAGGGGTGGTGGTGGTGGTGTTATTATCCAATAACCGAGACACATAGTTCAAACATAGTTTGCTTTATCTCAAAGACTTGTTATCTGTCTATGGCTGCTACTTGGGGTACAGTCTCAGTTGTACTCTGGTCCTGTATTGAGCACCGTGTGAAATATTTACATAAGACATTTAAAAAAAATCTCGTCATGATTATGTAATTTTAAAGGTTTTTTTTTCAAAGTCTAACAACGTTATAAAGACAGTGTACTGTAGACACTTTCAAACTGTTGACATTTTCAGACAGGTGTTTTAAAGTATATATATATATATATATATATATATATATATATATATATATATATATATATATATATATATATATATATAAATGACATTTTCAGTGCAACTCTGAAAATAGTTTTTGGCAGAAGTTTTTTTTTATGGTACCCAGAGAGGTAGCCTATCTAGAGAGGTAGATGACCCCGACATCGGTGCTATGTTTACACTTGACTCCGCACTGATAGTGTATTACTTTCTCAAGAGGCAATTCTGTGATACGTTAGGTAAAGTCTGGCTAGGGTCAAGGACGTGCGTGGTAATCGTGTGTTATGATAGTGGGGTAGTGGGGGGGGGGGGGAGGGGAGAAGATTGGGTTAGTGGGTGATGGTGTGGGGGGTAGAGGGGCAGGTTGGGTTAATGGTTGGTTGTGTGGGGTAGGGGACAGTGCGTGGTAGTGTGAGGGTGGGGTGGGGTGGGGGCAAGAAGGGTAAGTGTTTGGTAGTGTGGGGGCAGGGGGGTATGTTGGGTTAGTCGTTGGTATTGTAGGGGGGGGCAAGTTGAGTTAGTGGTTAGTAGTGTGGGGGTAAAGGGGAGGTTAAGGTAGTGGAGCGTAGTGTTGGGGGTGGGGGGGGGGGTTTGGTTAGTGTTTGGTAGTGTAGGGGTAGGGGGTTAGGTTGAAGTAGTGGTTGGTGTTGTAGGGGTAGAGGGGTTGGGGTTGGGTTAGTGTTTTGTGTGTGTGTGTGGGGGCAGGTTGTGTTAGTGGCTGGGGGTAGGGTTATAGGTTGGTAGTGTGAGATTGGTAGGTTGGTTTAGTGGTTGGTAGTGTAAGGGTAGGGGGGATTGGGTTAGTGCATGTTCCGGCGTGGCCAAGGGGTAGTGCCTTGACGTATCTGCAACAAAGAACGACATCTACTCGTCGTTTAATGTGGACCTTTAGACAAGAAGCCAAAATTGCCCGTACAACGAGGTTGCCTTTTCAATGAAATTACTCGTCATTGATGTCGGCTGAACATTTTTATATCAAAGTTTTGAAAATTTAAAACTCTACTTCCTCTGCGCTTATGGCCTAAAGTCGAAAAAAAAAACATTTAAAAGGTCTGTTGACTCAAAAAGAAAGTAGGCCTACACATTTGTTAGAGACGTGTTGCTTGTCTGGACAGCTGTGTTCATCAAATGTAGATATATCTGCCCAGATACTGACTAGCACTTTAGTTTTATCTCATAAGGTGGAGTCATCTCTTTTATCTTTATATGTCTAGTATAACCAACTTACATGCAAACAGAAGTTTTTATTTTTTTATTTTACTGTCACAAGATTTAGGCCTACATTTATGCAAGTCATGGAAAAAATGCTAATGTTATCTCTTTGGCTACGAGTACAGAAATGCTATCCAAATAAAAAGACAAACTCAAGCACATGCCCGAACGCAAAAGTATTAAAAACCAAATTTAACTACATACTTTAGCCTATACTACTTCCATAATGGAAAGTTTATTACCCTTTCAGAAATTACGATCCATAGGGCAGATGAAAACATATACAAGTGCTCCCCCCCCCCCCGGAGAAAAAAAGTCTGGAAGAAACACTGGTGTTCAGCACTATACCCAACCGTCTTTACCTTCGCTAGCGTGAGCTGGGTGGACTCAGTTACGTCCTGCTGTCTCTAATGAGGACCAAAATCCGAACTCTAAGACCTTTAAGCTAGTAGTGGAGCGCTCTACCATTCGACCACCCCGTCCCTGTTCATTCCGGCCACGAAGAAATGATATCTATTTTTTTTTTTTTTTTGTTACGAATTTTAAAGAAAAAGCCGCACAAATGCCTAACACTTATCAACGTTAAAGTATCAAACGCTAACTGTAACCTGAGCCTAAAAAATAACCCTACCCTTAGCCTAAGCACTAACCAAACCATTTAGTAAATCACAAGAGTAGTGTCTACATGCGATTGAGCCACAAAATATGCACTGTTCCTTCAAATGTACTACTCTATCGAATCTCTAGTGCAGTAGATTTACATTAAACCGTAAACAACATACACATTAAACTGTAAACAACATTAACATTAAACCGTAAACAAGATATACAATAAACCGTAAACAGGATATACATTAAACCGTAAACAAGATATACACTTACCTATAAACAAGATATAGATTTAACCGTAAACAATCCTCACAAAAATTTAATCACAATACCGTCACAATATTACTATTAGCCCACTAAGTTACCATAGCAACAAGAATAATTCTAGACGAGGAATCACAAAGCTGATGGTAGAAGGAAGGTTATAATTGTTTCGGAAAATTAAAAAAAGACAGAGAAAAAATACCCAAGGGCATTCAATGGGCAGTTACAAAAAAAAAAGATACACATTTGATACAAGTTTAGACAGCCTGATTATTTTAGTCGAGAAAACCTTTCAATTACTATATCTAGCTTGCTATAATGACGTCACAGCGCGCGTGTGGGTGTTGTGTGTGTGTGTGGTTGTGTGTGTGCTGTAAACGATGTGTTTGGTAAAAATACTCATTCCTATCTTAGGAATAACAGATTACAATGAAACAACTAACTGTTAAATTAATTGCGAAAAAAACATTTGGAATAAATTTGATACATAATACACAATTTTTAATCCACTCGTGATATTAGTTAATTATTATTTTTAAAAATTCGTCACTCACAAGTTTAAATAGTTCTTGTGGTAGGTGTATGTTTATTTTGTTAAGACATTTTGCTGGGTTTTATCCGAGCACCCATAAGGCTTACCCTAATCCTAAAATTAATAGGGGTTCCAATAGTGGTTAGTTCTTAACTACTCAAAGATAGATGAATTATGGTATCGCTATGTTAATCACGACACTAACATCAACACTAAGCACAGCAACAGTTTTTTTTTTGTTAAACTCGGGCTAAAAACAACTCAATTCGATGACGTTTTAGGCACTCGCCTGTCATAGAAAAAAACCCAATCAAGTCACTTAATTAAACTAAATTAAACTTGCACATTACCGTTCTGTTGCTCGCTTATTCACTGGAATAATCGCTCCGACTGAAAAGGTTCAGTCCTTTCTCATAAACACATAAACTTTTTAAAAAATCGGCTCCACCGCAAAGTTATTTATGGTGCAATGTTGAGAGGATTAACTTTGACATAAATATGACATGCCCTCGGTATACACATAGACACACACCCGTGACATAGACATAAACATAGAGAAAACACTTGATATAGACATAAACATAGACACACCCGCAACATAGACAGAAATATACACATACACCCGTGACATAGACATAAACATAGACACACACCTTTTACATAGACATAGACACACATACGCGACATAGACATAAAGTTAGACACACACCTTTTACATATACATAGACACACACCCGTCACATAGACATAAACATACACATACACCCGTGACATAGACGTAAACATAGACAAACACCATTGACATAAACATGTTATCCCTACCTGCGGCCCTGTGACAACTATATTGGCAGACGATGACACTCTCGCGTGTGAGACACGTGGTCTTTAGCGGCAAATATTTAACACCGTCATTAGAGATAGTCAGGGGCGGAGATTTTTATTGACTCTAGAGGGGGTGGGGTTGTTTTGTGAATGTGCGACTAGTGTTTGGTAGGGGGGGGGGAGATATTTGTCAACAGGATATTAGTGGTAGCTATGTGATGCTAAAAATAGATCATAAGGATATTTTCACAGTTTAAAAAATAAAAAGATGTTTTTTTTTCTTTATCTGCCTATCGTGAAACATCGAGACAAAAGGCAGAACTCAGCTGTGTAGTTAGAGTTGGGGGGGGGGAGGGTCCCCCATCTCGGCTCACATTATATC